TGTGGCACAAGTTTTCGGTAGTGGTTGTTTTGAGTTGGACCTGAAAATTCCTAAAAGCCTACAGAGCATCTTAAGAATGGATTGGGGGTGTGTTTACTAGGTATGGGAAAACCTTCTAACCGTACCTGGTGGAGACCAAGCTTGGCAGATGGGGCTGGGCAAGGGTTTGCGGTTGAACTGGAGTGGCCGGCAGTGGAGCTTTAGTGCAGCTTTGGGGCCTGGAACTGGGAATGTTAGCATGGGAAAGGGAACACAGCAGTGTGCAGGTCTCAGCGGAGGATGTGCAGTTTTTTCCGCCAGCGGCTGCAGGCCACAGAAACTGTAGCGCCCCAAAAAGGAAGGACAAACCTGTGTTGGTCGCAGCTCAGGGCCACTGGCATGTGCACGTGACTAGCAGTAAATGAGCGTGCAGCTGGAATCGGCTGTGGTAATGCTACCTGTAGCAGTAAGAACCACAGGGAAATTTAAGTAAAAGCCTGTGGGCAATTTAAAAGTCCCCCGACCCGATGAATGGCGGGGACTGAGTGCTCACAGGTGGACGGTGAGGCGGTAACTCACTGTTTACACTGGATGTTTGCGGGCTGCAGGTGGGTTCATACCCCATGTTGGGTGCCACTTATAATGAGAGCCGATCTGTAGTCCATATGGTTAAGATATCTTTATTCAGATAAACACCAGCCGAATGCAAGCAAGAGTGTGCCAGGGGCAGTGAGGCAGCTAGGGCAGAGAGAGGGCTTCCATGTGCTTTGCCGACCCTTAAGAACTTATCACATGTCATCCTGACCTCACCTTGACAACGCCCTGACAGGCATGGTCAGGCACACCTGTAGCCAGCCTCTATCAGCTTACTGTCCCCTACACCCCCTTGTTCATGTAAGCTGTTTCTGTGGGTTTCTTCAGCCTGGTCTTGACCCTTGTGCTCATAACTCCTCCCTCTCTGCAACTGGATTCCAGGAATTTGGCTCAGTGATGAGCTGTGGGTGTCTGCTTCTGCTTCCATCAGGTGTTAGATGAAAGCTCTATGATGGCATTGAAGGTAGTCATGAAAGTCACTATAGGAGGAAGGCATTTAAGGTAGCCTCTCCACTACTGCTTAGATTGTTAGTTGGGGACATCCTTGTAGATTCTGGACATTTCCCTATTGTCAGATTTCTCTTTACATCTATAATGGCTCCCTCTATTAAAGTGTCTCTTTTCTTTCTCTCCTCTATTCTGCCCTGACTCAATCTTCCTGCTCCCTCATGTCCTCTTCCCCTTCTTCTTCTCCCCTTCTCTATCTACTAACTTCCTCTCCCCTCACCACATACTCCCAATTTGCTCAGGACATATTATCCCTTTACCATTTTCAAAGGGACCATGCATGTATCTCTTAGGGTCCTACTTGTTTTCTAGCTCCTCTGGGGGTGTGGACTGAAGGCTGGTAATCTTTTACTCTATGTCTAATATACACATATGAGTGAAAAACATAACCATGTTTTTTGTGACTGGTTTACCTCACTCAAATTTTATGATTCCAGTTTTGTTTTCTGCTAAGTAGTACTCAATTGTTTAAATTTACCACATTTTCTTTATCCATTCTTTAGCTGAGGGGCATCTAGATTGCTTCCAGGTTCTGGCTATATTACAAAGAATGCTGCTATGAACATAGTTGAACAGATGTCCTTGCCGTATTAGTGTGCAAACTTTGGTACATGTCTAAGAATGGAATTGCGGGATCTTGAGGTATACTGATTCTCATTTTCCTGAGGAATCTCCATACTGATTTGAAAAGTGGCTGTACAAGCTTGAACTCACACCACCAGTGGAGGAGTGATCTCCTTTCTCTGCATCTTTTCCAGTATAACTTATCATTGGTGTTTTTGGTTTAAGCCATTCTGACTGGAGTAAGATGATATGTCAGAGTTGTTTTGATTTGCATTTCCCTGATGACTAAGGATGTTGATCACTTTCTTATGTGTCTTTCATACATTTTAGATTCCTCTTTTGAGAATTGTCTATTTAGTTCTGTACCTCACTTTTTAATTGGATTACTAGGTGTTTGGGAAACTAGCTTCTTGTGTTCTTTGTAAATTTTGGAGATCAGCCCTAAGTCAGATATGGGGTTGGTGAATATCTCTTCCAATCTGTGGGCTGCTGTTTTGTCTTGTTGACTGTGCCCTTTGCCTTACAGAAGCTTCTCAGTTTCAGGAGGTCCCATTTATTAATTGTCGATCTCAGTGTCTGTGCTATAGGTGTGATATTCACGAAGCTGTCTCCTGTAAAAATTCATTCAAGGATACTTCCCACTTTCTCGTCTAAGAGTTTCAGTATGGCTGTATTTATGTTGAGGTCTTTCTTCCATTTGGACTTAAGTTTTGAGCATTGTGATAGATGAGGATCCATCTAGAGTCTACTACATGTCAGCATCCAGTTATGCCAGCACCATTTGTTAAAGATGCTTTCATTTGTATTGTATAATTTTATCTCTTCTTTGTCAAAAATCAGGTATTATAGGTGTGTGGGTCTGTATCAGGGTATTCAATTGATTCCATTGGTCTACCTGTCTATTTTTGTGCCAATACCAAGCTGTTTTCAGGACTATAGCTCTATAAAAGAGCTTGAAATCAGGGATGGTGATGCCTCCAGAAGTTCCTTTATTGTACAGAGTTGTTTTGGCTATTCTGGGTCTTTTGTTTTTCCACATAAGGTTGAATATTGTTTTTTCAAGGTCTGTGAAGAATTTGCTGGAATTTTCATAGGGATTGCATTGAATCTATAGATTTCTTTTTGGCAAGATGTTTATTTTTACTATGTTGATTGTGCCTATCCAAGAGCATGGGAGATCTTTCCATTATCTGGTATCTTCTTTAATTTCTTTCTTTAAATACTCAAAATTCTTGTTATACAGGTCTTCCACTTGTTTGGGTGCATTATCCCATGGTATTTTATATTATTTGTGGCTATTTTAAAGGGTGATGTTTCTCTGATTTCTTTCTCAGTGCATTTACTATCTGTATATATTGGGGCTACTGATTTTTTTTTTAGTTAATCTTGTATCCTGCCACTTTACTTAAGGGGTTTATCAGATGTAGGAGTTCCCTGGTAGAGTTTTTCTGCTCACTTATGTAAACTATCATATCATCTACAAATAGTGAAATTTGACTTCTTTTTTCCAATTATTAACCCCTTGATCTTCTTTTGGTGTCTTATTGCTCTAGCTAGAATATCAAGTATAATACTGAAGAGGTATGAAGAGACCGAACAGCCTTGTATGGTTCCTAATTTAAGAGGAATCTCATTGAGTTTCTCTCCATTTAGTTTGATGTTGGCTTTTGGTTTGTTATATGTTGCTTTTATTATGTTTAGGTATGTTCCTGTTATCACTGATTCCTCCAAGACCTTTATCGTGAAGGGTATTGGATTTTGTCAAAAGCTTGTTCAGCATCTAGTGGAGTGGACTGATTTATAATGACTTTAAGTTCTTTCTTACAAATAAAGTAAAAGGAAAGACTGAGAATAAGATTTAATTTGTGAATTCCATGTATACGCACAAGAAAAGTCCCAATATTTTCCCTTCACTGTTTTTGGCTTAAACAAAACACTTCCTGATACTGTAGAATATAGTCATGTTTTTAAACCTGGCATAGTCACAAGAATATTAAGGAGTTTCCTGTCACTCATATGTTTAGTAATTTATTCACAACAGTGTTAATTCTTGTGATCCTTATGTGATGTCTACAGATTTAAATTTTGCATCAGCTTTAAAGTAAAGTGTATTTATCATTTGATCAAAGCAAATTCACTATAGAAAGGACATCAGAAGAAACTGCCCTAAGAGCTGGAGAGATGTTTTATCACTTGAGAGAGAATGCTCCTTCTGAGTAGCAGCAGTGGCATCCCAGTGCCCATGGAAGGCAGCTCCATGAGATCTGATATGCTGTCCTAGCCTCTCCAGATATACACC